CATAGAATCATGTGGGAAAAAGGCGGTGAATTCAGTTCTACAAATGCTGTGTTTAAGGCCCCTGGGAGACCATGTGAGGTGTACATTAGCAGGTGGTTAGACTTAGGAGAACAGTTTAGGGTGGCAGTGTAGATTTCAGTCCATCCGCTTACATTGAGAACCTACTATGTGTCACATCGCCGCTGCTTCTAACTCTAGGCAGATAAAGAAGGATTTAAGGAGAGGGGATAAAGAGATGGAAAAGGGAGATAAAGGGAGAGAGAAACTGAACTAAAGAAGAAAAGTAGCAGGAAAAGAAAGGGGGGCAGATTGTTGGGGGAAGGGGAGGACAAACACGCTGGCAGTCTATACGAGGGGAGGGGAGGTGGGTGTCCGAATGGGGGGGAGTGGTGTCCATGTCATTACTCTTCCTCTGTGCACTTGTGTTACAGACTTGGGCTTGAGCAAATAAAAATTCTCTCTTGTATATGCGCCATAATGATATGTTTTGTTTTTAAATACTTGAGTTTTAATAAAGAAGGAAAAGGAAGACGTCAGAAAGAAAAAGCCTGAGTAGACTGTGAAAACGTTCCGTGACTACACCTATAAGCTGTTAACAGCAAGTCAGTTTGTAGAAGTAAAACTGGAGGAAACTGCGGTGACAGGTTTATAATCCTGGGACAGGGGAAGCCAGAAGTAAGGTAAACCCCCGTGCTGTGATGACAGTGGACATTTGACTGCATAAGACTTTAAAGATTCCCCATGAAAGCTGGGAACAAAGTAAAGTGATGCCATGAAGTGCGTGAGGAACCTGTACACTGGAAACCACTGAACTCTGGATATGCCGTGTTAGTGGATTGTAGCAGTCAGTATTGATAAAGGGTAATTTTCTCCAGTAATTGTTAACAATAAATGCAACCCAATTAGAATCACAGAATTTTTGGTAGAAATTGACAAAATGATTCCAAAATGTATATGGAGATAGAAAGGACCCAGACAATCACAAACAATCTCGATACATTTGGAAGACTTACCACCAAAGGACTTGAAGTCGTGGCACCACAGTGCAGACAGTGGTGCTGGCACAGACGCGGGGTCGACAGACAGACCGATGCAATCTAACAGCGCAGAGGTGGACCCAAGACATGCAGTCCTTTGATTTTTAATGGAAGTGGCAGATCAACCCAATAGGCAAAGGATATCCCTTCAGCACAGTAACTGGGACTAGTGGATATTCATGCCAGTAATCTTTGACCTGTATGAGGGGGCCCCCCAAAAACTAGAATTCTCTTCTGGAGGGGGTGGGCCCCTTGTAATACAGGCTTCCCCCACTAGGTTAGTGTTCTAGGAACACATCTGTATTTGTGTACTAGCTGGTGTTGTTGTGAGGGGCTGCATCTGGCTTCTTGAATTATTTTGGAGGACTCAGCATGTTTGCCTATTTTGTGATGGGTAATTTGTGAGTGCACCTGTGCACACCACACTGAGCATTTTGCAGTTTTTGACCAATAACTGCATGACCCTCGTGCTCCACTCTTTCTTTCTACCCGATCTCACCCCTAGTGACATTTTTTTGTTTCCCTGGTTGAAAAAAGGAAATCCTCAAAGGGAAACATTTAGCCGATGTGGAAGAGGGGGAACAAAAAACGACAGAAGTACTAAAAGGCATCTAAATCAACAAGTTCAGAAACAGTTTTGAGCAGTGGAAAAAATGTCTCGATAGGAGTACTGCATCAAATGGGGAGTACTTTGAAGGTGACTGAAGTTTAAACATGTAAGAATAAATACACAATTTTTTTTTATAAATAAAAAATATTTTCTGGTGTAGAAGACCAGTCTGAGCCCTTATTTATGTGCGGAATGTGCTGAGCTGTGTTTAAAGCCAAGTTCAGATGTTGATATTGTTGCAAAGTAACACTCCTTTTGTTATCTTAAGATTTAAAAAGTGTAGTTTTCAAAATGGACATGTTTTAAGCAACTTTCATCTGAAAAAGTGAAAGTAATTATTAGTATATTATTAGTGGCAGGGTTGAAATTTTTGTGATTTCAATACTTCTGAAAAGGTGTTTATATATAAATGTTGTAAGTATTATACACTTGAAAAAAATTCTAAGAAGGAAGTTTGTTTAGAAAAGCAAGAAGATGGAAAATGTATTGGTGTGACCTTCTAAGGCATGTCTGAAACATTTTAAGATTTGTATATTTACTTAATAGAAACCTGTGGCGTTGCAAACATCCCCGTGGTTTGAGTGCACATTTTCAGCAGATCTGTTCTCTAGGGGGAGATACTTAAGTAAAGCTGTATATTCCTTCTGTCTCATCTACGAAAATACAAGCACAAATTACTGTATTGTAAGCAGTCATTCTTACACTAAACTTAAGAAAGAGGAAATATTGTGAATTTCATTTTCACAGTATATGGGGGGTAGGAAAATACATGATTTAAAATTCTCAAAATAAGGAGTAGCTTTAATTAGGAAGGACATTTTGAATTTAGGAAAACATGGGGTGATAAAGTATAATGGATTATAAATTAGGAAGCCATTTACTAACTGTAAGTATTAAACAGATGAAATACATGTTTAAGAAAAGAAGAAAATACGTCTCCCAACATAAAATTAATATTTGGAGGTGGAGATAATTTTATGTACAGATGAGAAAATGTGATAGAATGAATCAGACAGTACCACCAGATGTGGTGGTATTGTGTAGTAGACTGGAGATTTTGCTCCATGTCTGAATGTGCTACAACAGCAGTGATGAGTAAAGAATTTTCAGTTTCAAACAAAAGTATATTTGTTCTCAAATAGAATTGGTTAAAGGAGATTTCATTTCACAGTGAATTCTTACTGGTCAAACTCTGATTCAGGGTGATATTAAACTTACATAGCAACACTGAAATGATGTTCATGATACTGAGAATTTAGCCCTTGCTCTTACATTCTTTCTAGGAAGGAAATACGTGAAATGAACTGTTCTTTTCTTACAAACTTCCGCAGCATTTACCCAGTTCAGTGGACAAAGCCAGTTTCAAGACTGTACCTTCCTTCTTTCGGAGTTTGGGTGAGATGAGGAGTGTTCATCCCTATGGAAAAGGAAGTGTCCCAGGGCCCGCATTTTAACTATGGCGAGAATGCGAATTGTGTTCCTTCCGATTTTCCTCCTTAAACGAATGCTTACAACTTACCATGTCCTCTTTGTGGAGTTAGAAGACTTGTCCTGTGGAGTCAGGGTCCCAGGTTCCTGCGATGTGTTAGTGCTCCCGCGTCTGTGACACTGTGCATGCGTCTGCCTTCTCTGAAGAGCTGCATCTGCACAAGCTGTCATTCCTGTCTGACCGAGTTCAGCCATGACTTTGGGGGTCATTTTATTTCACTTAATGCTCAGGGTTCTGTGATCCCGTGTCTGTTAATCGATTTATAGATGGTGGTGTAGCTTATAAATAAATGACATCTCTCTCAAAAGTGTATAAATATGTGATTTATATTTTACCACTTAGGGCAAAAATGTTAACTTTGAGTGATCAAATTAATACATTTTTGGTCTTTGATCTTTTCATTTCAGGAATGGCTTTTTTCCCCCTCCTCTACCTTTTACCTTATCTGAAAACGTAACATCCGTTATTCTTACATTTTCTGCCTGGAATTCTACTTCTCTCTCTTCACTCACTTCTCAGCCCACTCATCCAATTTCTGCTCACGCCACTTCACCGAAACTGCTGCAGCCGGGCCACCGCGTGTCTGCAGCACATCCCAGGGCCTGGTTGGTGGTCAGCCTTCTGTGTCTCAGAGGCAGTTGAAAGGTTACCCACTTCCTTCTTAGACAGGCCTCAGTGACACTGCACCAGCTGGCCTGCCCCCTCTTCTTTCTGATAGCACCCTGTCCCCTTTGTAGACTTCTCTTTTTCTCCCCTCTTTTAAATGCTGCTATTCTTTAGAGCCCCTGCTTCTTGTGATACTGCTCTACCTAGAATTTGGCATTCGTTGCTTCAGTTATAATCTGCTGATGATTCCAAGACTCCCTGGCTTCAGGGCTGTGTATCCAGCTGCGCTCTGGACATCTTCACATGATGGTTGTAGCCTGCAGGTGATGAAAACCTGCTTCTGGCCAAGAGGGAGAGCTGTCCCTTCACAAAGCCACACCTCAGGTGTACAGGTCCCACTGGTCTTAGGGATGACTGGAGGTGGACGTTCTCTCTCGCTGCTGCTTGTCAGTGCTGTGATCTCAGCACCATCTTCTGCATGTAGTTTGGAACATGGTTGGCCAAGGTCAACCTTCAAGTCTACAGCTTGTCAGTGAAGAAGAAAAGATAGATGTGCTCTCCTACTCCAGATGAAGATCGCCTGGCATGGATTATGGGGAGATCGGGCATGTTCAGGGTGGTATGGCTGTAGACCTGGCCTGGATTCTGACTGACGCAGCGTGGCTAGCCACCTTGAGGTGTAAAGCGTTTTGACTGATACTCATTCTGGTGGTGGGGGAGGGACCTAGTGTCTCGATCCAAAATGAAGGCTTATCTAACCACCATTCATCTTTCACGTACAATTCTAATTTCAGTGGAAAGAGGATGATTAGGTTTATAATTATTGATGAGTGTAACTTACAACTGGCAGAGGTGGTCGCTCTGCCAGTTACTGTCTGGGCTGTCTTTGAGAACAAAGGACTCAGCAGAAGAAACCTATATGAAAATGACCGGCATTTCTTTTTGGAATTAGAGACTGTTTGATAATCATGATGTTTGAATTAGTGATTTAAAAATATCATGGTAATTTATACCTTTATTGTCATAAAATAAATACTCTTTGAAAGCAGAGGTTTCTCTCTCTTTTTCATTGCTGTATCCCTAACACCTGATACTCAAGGCTTGAACAAAATTGTTGAATCAGTTTATTAAAAATCTCAATTTTTTTTTCCATTGTTTAATTTTTGGGGAAAATTTATTCTTAATTTTATCACAGGTTTCAGAAATAAAAGCTTCCAAGCATAAGTAACTTGTTTTCTTTTACTCTTTTTTTTTCTAGACCTGAGTCAAGACAACATTTATACCTTCCTGGTGGTTCAGAAACGAGTCTCTATAGAACCATAAGCAAAGAAAGGAAACATTTTGTCTTTTTCTTAATTAAATTGACTGTATAAGATACTGGACGTTAGGAACAAACGCACAGAGAAGTGTCAAAATCGTTGCTCTAACATCACTGGACGCCGGTCTCACTGAGGAGTGAGCTTTCTGAAGCTTCCTGAGCAGAGATTTGGACGCTTCCTTGGTGCTCACTTGTGCTTTGGACGACGAGCATGAGTGAGTTCTGGTTGTGCTTCAACTGCTGTATTGCAGAGCAGCCTCAGCCTGTAAGTACCAAGTAGCACACGGACCGATGGGGCGGGGGGCTTATGGATGTGCCTCGGGTGCTCAGGTGAGACCCGGCGCCCTGGCGGTGCTTGCAGGGCAGTTCTGAGCAGTGTCACAGAGAGTAAGTAGTTCAGTGGACTTCTGAACATCTGCTTTTAAAAAAGGAGAAAAAAAGAATCTGTGTCTTTTGAGTAAATACTGTGTGTCAAGAGCTGGGCCAGACCATTGTACACGGCCGAGAGGAAGGTGTGCTCATCTACCGAGTGGGTGCCTTCTGGAGGAAAGGGCAGGGAGGAAGCCTTGCCTGAGGTCCAACAGCCCAGGAAGCCTTGGGCGCCAGGGCTGGGGGCTGCGACAGCCGGACCCCCATGGCACTCACATCCTTTTCGATTTGCCCTCTCATTTTCCTTGCACCAGTATCTGAGGAAGATACTACTGTCCTTGTTTTTTGGTTGAAATAGATTCAGTTTTTTGCCCAAAGTCATATTAGATAGTGGTCTATTTTTGGTACATGCCCCACTTTTTTGTGCCTTCTAAACGATGCACTTATTGTCACCACTGTCAAAATCCTGCTCTCCAATTGGTGGTTTTCTGTTCAGATCAAAAGTCACCTCTGCACACTCTTCCCCAGCTGTCTCCTGGTGTGAGTATACATCTGTGTTTCCACCTGCTCTTCAGTTCATTTTTTTCTCTGGTATAGCACAGCCCTACTTAAAATTTTTTTTTCTTTAATTTTTAGAGAGGGGGGAAGGGAGGGAAAAAGAGAGGGAGAGAAATATTAGTGTGTGGTTGCCTCTCACTGGCTCCCACTGGGAACCTGGCCAGCAACCCAGGCCTGTGCCCTGACTGGGAATTGAACCAGCGACCCTTTGGTCCACAGCCTGCGCTCAATCCACTGAGCCACACCAGCCAGGGTGCACAGAACCTCTGGCATAATAAATAATTGTTCTCTAGTTTCTCCTACCCTATTTTTTAATTCTTTAGGGCCTCTGACTGTATTTTGTATCTAAAGGATCAAATCTAATACATTGGAGAATCTGTTACCTGCTGGCTGGCTGACTGAATAAGTGAATTTATGTTTTATTGTTTTGTTTGTAACAACAAAAAAGGATGGATGAGGTGTAATTTTAAGGTCTTTTGCCTTTCCCTGGGCATGTACAGTCACTTTCTCATTTTCTTTATATATGCAGTTGCTTTTGTATGTCCTAGTCTGTTATGTCTAGCTCCCAAAAGGGGAGAAAAGGGAGGGTTCAGAGAAAAGAACAGGTGCTGATTTTCTAAATCCCCTGGAAGTCACTGCAGCCAGATGAGGACAGCTTGCTACAGTGTGGGAAGGTGTACCAACGGTGGCCAGTGGCTGCCTGTCTCTCTGCCCCTCTGGGAGGAGAAGCGGGGGTATGTGGAGGACCGGGGCCCGTCAGCCGTGTCCACACTGCTCTGGGAACATAGCAGGGATGGCCAGTGATGACTGCTACTGTGCTCAGGGCTGACGTGGACGGAAATTAACTGGTCCACCTTCAGTCCTTTTGGGGAGTTGCAAACCTTGAACAGGCTCTGGAGTTCTAAAAATACTTAGATCAGGCAGGTTCGGCCCCCGCATTTGGGGAGAGGATGCAGATTCCTGGTGCTACTCATCCACCACCTTTCTGTTCACTGCTCTTACAAGTTTGGTTCCTACATATAACTCTGACTCATGAAGAATGGAAGACTGGTTGATTTGCATGGTGTGAGGTAGGGGTTTAACTATACTTTCCTGCTCATCAGCTATTTAAAGACAGTTCATTACATAGCCAGTCTTTATTAGGGATTTGAAATGTCATTTCTTGTTAAATACAGTGCTTTCATATATTTCTGTCCATTTCTGAAATCTGTTTTCTTCTTCTACATGTGTTTACACCTATGCCACTACTTTACTGTTTTAATTGCTGCTGTTGCTTAGTGTATATTTTGCTGTTTCAGAGAAAAAATCTCTTTTATAGATCTTTTTTCAGCTCTTGGTAATGCTGTGTTTTTAAGCTGGATTGTCATATAGGTCCTTATTATTTCTCTGTTTTTCCTTGTATGAGATATTTAATAATGCATATTTTTATGGGTGTTTACTTCAGGGTTGCTTAAATTCAGAGTGTAATTGGGTGAGAATTGACATCTTTAACATTGAGAAGAGAAACACGGTATATGTCTTCATTTATAGGGACTTTTCCGTATTCCTTGAGTAAAGCTTAAAAATGTTATGTAAGTTTTACACATTTCTTGTTAGATTTGTTCTAGATATTTTATGAATTTATATTACTGTTCTGCATGAAATTGTCTTACATTTCTAATTGGATTTTATCAATGTATAGGAAACTAATAATTGATGCACTAATTTTTTAATCCAGACACCTTACTGAACACTGTATTTCCTAAATATGTCCATGTAGTGACTTTTTTATAGCCTTTTTCTGATCTGTAAACTTCTCTTTTGTGGGAACCTGCGGCGTCGCTGCGCACTTCCGGTGTCGTGGCGGTTGGAGTCCGTGGGGGTTGAGCATCTGGCTTCTCCTGTCGGTAAAGGGACAGGTTGTGATTTACTTAAGCATAAAATGAACGTGTATTTCAGTGATTGTATGTTTACCTCTGCATTTAAGTTACTGTGTATAATTTATTACCTATGACATGACCAACGATTACATTCGCATCATTTTTTGAAGATTATGAAATGCTTGAGTCCTGGAGCCACGTTGCCTTTAGCGTGCCTTGTAATTTTTTGTTGAAAGTCAGACATGATAACACTGGGTAAAAGGAACTCAGGTAAGTAGGCCTGTGTTATGAGGCTTTACGTTTATCTGGTTGGGTAGGCTGCACTGTTTGCTGTAGCTGTCGGTGTCAGGGGGTTTCCCTGGAAACTTCTTAAATATTCCCCTGGTAGATGCTGATGTGGGGGGCGGGAGGGCAGGCCTTGCGTATGCTCTGCTCAGGTTTCAGTCTTAGTGAGCCTGTGCCCCTGGGCCCTGATGGACACAAGTACTTCTCAGTTTTGTTTTAGTTTTTACTCCTTGGTTCAAGCAAAAAGGGCTAGAGGGCGCTGGAGTTGGGCATTTCTCTTTCCTTCCTGGAAGTGGAGCGTAGGCTAGGATTGGATAATTCTCTTCCCCAGAGCGGGCTAGTTTCTGGGAAAGCCCCAGTCGATCAGGCGCTGGTAAAATAGTTTTTTGTGAGAGTAGCCTTAGTTAAGAAGAACGGACTGCCCTGGCTTACTTAAAAAGTGGCTACCATTCCCCACTCTTTGCTGAGAAACACAATGTGATTTCTCCTGACCTGCGTTTTGAGAACATGGTTGAGTTCCTGGAGACCAAACTCACACAAGTGGCATTTCCCCAAGACTGGGCCCCCGGGAGTCTTGACCTCTCGACGTGACTCCGGCAGTCTGTCTGTTACAGGCTAGGGTTCCCACTCGGCCTGGACACGCTGCTGCAGGTTTCTCCTCGTGGTAATTTGTGCTTTTCTGCGTTGGCCTCCCTCTCCAGTTGGTGCGGTGGTTCTCTCCATGGTCTCAGTTCTCCTGTGGAGCAAAGAGTTGCTGCTTTTTACTCTGTTCAACAACTTCTTGTTGTGTGGACAGGAGTGGCAGTTTCCAAGCTCTTACATGCCGATCAATCTGAAAAAAATACGGCAAACCAGAAATCGTGTTGCCATTTTTTAAAAGATTGATTTCTTTATTGTTGGTCTTCATAATGTTTATACCCAAGTGGATCCTGTCCTGGGATGTGATGTGGGCATACTCATGAATAGCTAAAGTAGACATAGATGAGAAATTTAAATACCAGGAGCGTACAACCTTGGAATTATAAATATGCGACATTGGAAATACATTTGCTGCTGCACAGAGGATATGCAGCTTGAGTTCTGCACACATATGTGTTGGTGTTGTGTTATTGTTCAGTAATGCACATTTGTGTGAGCTATTCTGCAGGAGCTCCGTGGGTGCCTGGTTCCTTCGTCTTTTGGACTTGATGAGAAATATGGCCCCAAACTTGACAGGGCAGCATGTTGCTGTGGTGGAAGCATAGCTCGGCGTTGGCAGATAATGGCCACACTGACAACAGTGTGCATGTTTGCAGTCCACACAAACGTGTCCTCGCTGTCCCGGGTGGACAGTGGCAAGACTGCCTTATCCAAAAGCTGCTCAGTCGTCTGTACAGCGTTCCAAAGTGTTTACCGAAACTAAGTGCCACATGCCATCCCTCCCACTCCCTCCCTGCCACCCCCTGCTCTTGCACATTCCATGTGTGAAAAAGGAACAGCCCGATCCTGGGAAGAACGTAGACTGCATTTTTGTGTAGTAGCATAGGAATATACTTCTTTTTCCTACTTCTCACTTTAGCACAAACAGTGTATGATACAACATAGTCCCAATTTTTCTAACCCGTGATAATCCAAACCTTTTTGACTTGTGCTAGTGTAAATGCTATAGTTGCTGTTGCTACATATAGCTAAGGTTGTAAATTTAAAATTGGATGGCTCCTTGCAACTTACTCCTTTAAAAACAAAGATTTGTAAGCTGTTTACACAATTGATGTTAGTTCTTGAGCTGCAGTACTTACTGTTGTTCATTGGAATACTGGTGGGCTTCCCCCACCGCCCCCAGCTTTATTGAGGTATAATTGGTATACAGACACCCCCACACACACATAATTAATGTACACAATCTCGTGAGTTTGGCATATATGTACACTCATATTACCACTGCGACTATTAAGGTAATAAACTCCTCGATATCCTCAAAAACATTGAATATTGATGTATAACCCCCCCCTTTTCAATTAATTTTTCGTGTCTTCCCCACTTAATGTTTTGCCACATGGTACTGATAGTTTATAATGTTCTTTGTCTCTGAAATGTGTCGTTTTAATTGTGCAGTCACCACCACTGGTGCCTGCAATAACACTGGTGTTTCTCCAGCGCGGGCCAGGTGCGAGGAAGCAACCGTGAGCACGTAGGTGTGGTCCCTGCCGTCCCG